CTGAGGATCAGCAATGACTTCCTATGATTTAGATGGGGAAGCGCCCCTCTTGGCTGATTACAACAAATGATGTAGGTTTCTTCCGTTTGGGCTCAATGTTGTCCTTCTGTTTAAAAATACATATTTACAGCATTTTGCGTAGGCTATTCAAGTTTTTAGTAGCATTTGTTTTTTTTGCAACGTTTGCCATTCACGAAATGGTAATTGTAAGGATATCCCCGAGTGCCTGGCAAGGCGTTTGAATGGATCGCATCAGCCATTGTGGAAGACTTCCCGTTTCAGACCAGGAGGAATTGGTGGGGTCAGGCGATGAACAATGAAAGGGGTTCTTGCTCATTGCCAGGCCAGACGAACCCAGCGGCAGTTGAGGGTTTGAATTGTAAATCAAGCCTGTCATCTCCTTGTCAACTACGCAAAACCTCCACTCCCTTTCTGCACTATTAGGGTTTGTTAGTAGGGTTTTGTGTTGTTTTCCAAAAGTCTGAAGGAAAATTAGACTCATGAGGCATTTAAGTGAACACCGAATCTGAACTTTGGAAAAGGGGAACAAAAAAATAGTACTATTTAGAAACTTTTAAATGATTGAACCGTCTGCCACAGTTATGACTGTATCTAACCAAAGTTATGGGTTCACTCAGTGTTCCTCAAAGGCATTCTGTGGGGTCACAAGCGGCCCTCACATGGCTAATAGACTGGACCTCAGTGGTTTTTATATCTATGGCAATATTAACAGACTGAATTTATCATGAATTAACACATTTACATGTGAAATTTAATGAAAACTATCTTGAACTCATTGTTTTCACCCAAAGCAACTTTGATTTTTTTTCCCCCCATTAAATCAGGGGAAATTTCTTTTCTGGCCTTAACTGGGAACAGGTGGAATGAGTCCCGCACAACCTTTTGCCTCGCTGAAAACTTGGTTCTAGGCCAAAACTTTTGAGATCCACTGCCTTAGGAGTAGAGAACAGGCAAGATGTTTGGGATGGTTTATTGTGATGATTCAGGATTCATTATCCATTCCACAAATATTTATTGAACGCCTACAAGTCAGCTCTCTGCAGTGTAGCCTGGGGTATGGTGATTGCCAAATAGGACTAGGTTCATTCAAACATCCCAGCTAGTAAAACAGCCGACTGGGAAATGGGAGGACGAGGCCGCCTTCCGAGGCCCAAGTGCAGAACGCGCCAGCTAAAATCACGTCTGAGCAATTTGCCCCCCTTGATGGATGATAAAAGAATATACGCAGGGCTTTAGTAGGAGTCTGTTTGAGAGAATAATTATTACAATATGTGCTAGAAAAGAACCATAATAATAGACCATAAAAATGGCTCTTGACTAATACATCAGACCAGATCATACCAGTTGATAAAAAATAATGATGCCTGAGTAGTGGAGTGGCACCGGTTAGTAAAACTGCTGCAAACACCCACACACACAGGAACGAGCAAGGGGTGCTGTCTGCAGAGGGCTGATGTGGGAACTGAGGAGCACCCAAATAAAGCGGTTGAGGTTCACACATATATACACACCCACTCAGACCTTATTAATCACTTACAACTTATTTTATTTTAGCAACTGCCACTTCATCTTAGGAATTTAATTTCAATGCTGGGATGCCAAAACATTTCTCATTCACGGGATCCACAGCGTGTAATAAATGGAGGCTGATTTATTTATGTTTAAAGGTAAAATGATAAAATGACACCTAAGCATAGTGATGATTGAACTCTAACTGTCTGATGGCAGACTCTGTATTTCTCTGATTGATCATATTCCCCTAAAGGTAACATCCATACTCTGAAGGCTCCACAAGACAGAGTAAATCTAAACGGCCAGTATCAGACAGAAAAAGTTAAGAACCTTATGATTCCACTCGTGCGGGATATAAAACTGAAAGCAACAGATGAACAAGCAAACAGACAACAACTCATAGAGACAGACAACAGTGTGGTCGTTACCATGGGAAGGGGTCAAGGAGGTCAAATATATGGTGGCAGAAGATTTGACTTTGGGTGGTGGGCACACGTACAAATGATGTATGATAGAATTGTGCACTAGAAACTTATGCAATTTTATTAACCAGTGATACCCCAGTACATTTAATTGAAAAAAATCTGTGTGGCTAGACCTTGTTCTACCTCTAAGCACTAGCATCAAAGTTTAATTCCATATGCAAATTTGTAACTAATAATTAATATAAGGTAGCTAATGTTGGCAGCGAGCAGAATTTCTCAGTTATCACCACTATGGGGTAGAATTTATGGGGAAAGTCAGCATTTTGATGAAGTAGGGTTAGAATGGAGTTGTGATTATGGTAGAAAAGTTTTTTCTCTCCCTCCCATGAGCAGCGCTTGCTCAGCCTCTCTCACTTCTGCTCGTTAATGAATCTCTAACCTTCAGCTGCAGCACTTTCCATCTTGACCATTTCTGCTGGTTATTAATCGATTAATCATGGTAGACATTAATCTAATTGTTATCGCTAATTACTACATTCAGATGAAGGCTGTAAATGTATTCCTGTGGAACTTTCCCATTTTTACTGGCGTGTAATCTTTTTTTTATTTTTTATCCTCACCCGAGGACATTTTTCCATTTTTTGTTCAGACAGAGTGGGAGAGAGAGAGAGAGAGAGAAACATCGATGTGAAAGGGACACATCGAGTGGCTGCCACCCGCACAGCCAACCAGGGCCGGGGACAAACTGCAACCGAGGTACGTGCCCTTAGCGGGAACCGAACCCGGGTCTCTCTGGACCGCAGGCCGACGCTCTAACCGCTGAGCCAAACCGGCCAGGGCCTGTCGTGTAATCTTAATATCTGTTAGTAATATTACTAATATTGCTATTCTTTTGTCACCTTGGCAACTAAAGCTCTTATGTCCTACCCAAGAAAGACCCACCTTATAGCAAATTCTCTTTTATAAGTAGGAAATAGTTAATATTACAGGGACTTTTCAGAAACTTTTGCCTGCAAAACCTTCTCCCCCTTTCTTCATAATTTGGAAATGTCTTACTGGCCTCCAAATGGATCAGGGTGATGCAGGAATGAAGGAACTAAAGGCTGATATTCATACCCCCATTGTAAAGGAGGAGAAACTGAGGCCTGAAGCAATTCAATGGCCTGGCACTGCTCTGGGAGATCATGACCACAGAGGCAGAAAAGTTTCAGGAAAACATTTCTAAAACTTGACTAGAAAAGGGAGGCATAGTTAATTAACGGAGAATCCAATCACTTTGTTGTTTAATCTATCTTGGATCAAAATCATTTTTCAGCTTTAAAGCCACTCTTTATTTTGAGGCTTAGAAGTAAGTTATCAACATTTACAGCAGAGAGGAGGGGTGCTCTATGATAAGTAATAGCAAAGTTAAATGAATAACGAGAGATATGAGAAGTTATTTTAATTGCTCATGATTTTTCTCAGACGAGGCAAGTGAAGCTTCTAAAGATATTTGTTGGTTTTTTTGTTTTTTTTTATTGTCCTTCTAACTATAATAGAATAAAAGAGTTTAAACAATATGGCTGATGCAGAAAAGCTGGAAAATTATGCTAAATCACTGTGTTGACAGCTGACCAAGGGAGGTGTTACTAATGGAGATTGAAAAAGGCATTGCCCTGCCTGGGTAGCTCAAAGGCATTGCTTGATGAAAATTGTGTTATTTAAGGCAAGTCTTTTTACTTTATGTTTCATAAAAAACAGAAGTATGTATTTCTCAAAGAATGCATTTGAAATGTTTTCATATTTTGGGGAAAGGTATAATCACAAAAAAAATTAGAACTGGGCTTTTTATTTTTTGCAAGATGATAAAGTTTCCTCCGACAAACAGTGACTACTGCATGAGTTGAAGCAGAGTTCCCTCTTTCAGGGACAAAGGAGACCTGGGACGCCTTTGGAATCACTTGCAAGTAGCATTTTAAAGAAGCAAATTGCTTCCTGTATGCCGACATGAGGCACTGGGTTTTAGTTCTACCACAGAACCATGCAGCTTGTGTAGACTCAACTCTAAAATGAGCAAAAGTATGATTTAGAAAATGATTTAAATTGTGTAACAAAGGTGCATGGTACTTTTCATGATTTAAAAAAAATTATGTTATGGTAAACATTGGTAACCACAAAACCATTTATACTGCATTTTTATGAGCTTTTGGGAGGATTTGCAAAGGTAATTTTGATTATGCTCAATTTCTGCCTAATGAACTTACCTTAGAACCTAAACCCCACATAGGAAAAGGCCCACACTATAACTTAATGTATATCTGAGGTCATAACACAAGGTTTCTCCCTGCAAAGCTACCTATTCCAGATAACTTATCTAGAACAGAAGGGCAGTAGACTCAAGCTAATATTAATTTCAAATTAGCCTATAAAACTAAATTAACAAAATATCCAAGGTAATTTATTTTTGCATTTTCTGATTCACCCCTGTATAACTTGGATAATTTTTGCTAACACATCATTGAATGCCCGAGATGAAAGGGAATTTAAGATCCTGGCTTCCACCAGGGTCATTTGCTAAGCTGGCTACAGGACCCCTGTGTTCCTAGGTCATACTGAAGCTTGGTGGGTGGGGTGACCATAGATGAATCATTTGACCTGGTGTTCAGGTTGGTCCTCACACTAATGATTATCCAGTTACTGCCCCTTCTCTTCCTGTCCTATGTAGTCAACCCCAAACGACAGGTGGGAACTTTCCTTTGGAATCTGCTTGTACAGATGAGATCTTCCCTGGTAACAACACAGCCCAGGTGGTCTTCTACAGGCAGGGTTTTTGCTGCACAAGCCCATGGCATTTTTCTTTCAAGTACAGCAATTGTGCACACCAGAAAACCTAATAGAAATCGGACAGCAGGGAGGCTCATGAGCTTCAGAAAGGTGGGCCCTGTGTTCATGTTCATGTTTTCTTGTCTAAACTGGGAACTGGCTCCTCGCAATTGCCTTTCTCATGTTAGGAAATATTCATGGATTTCTGTTTTCCTTCTTCTTTCTCCCCTGACCTTTCAGATTTATGAGGAATCCAAGATGAATTTGGAGCAGGAGAGGCCGTTTGTCTGCAGTGCCCCAGGCTGCTCCCAGGTGAGTGTGGGGATCCTCTGCTGTCTTATTGGGGAAATACCTACCTTCCGACAGGGAAGCAACTCTCCCCAGGCAATCATGCCTGTGTGGGCTTTCCTTCTTCACCAAGATCTCGTGACGGTACCCCTACCATCCTCATCCTCATCCTCATTGTTATTTTTCATTTTGAATTTTAAGTACTTCCCTCATAGCCCCTGAAAAAATTAATGTTGGCCGTTTCCACCCATAACTTTCCCCTGGAAGCAATCCAGATGCATCTTGCCCACCAGATGTTCAGGTTAGTTATTTTAGAAAGTGGGGAAGGAAGGTGCCTGCTTTTATAATGGCCACTTGAATACTGGGTCTTAATGTTACTGGTGAAATAGCTTACCATCAATGGTTTAATTCTGTTTTGTTTCGTTGTCCCATTTGAGTTAAATAAACCCCATCTAACTCGTTAGAACCTACTTTTGCTATTTAAGAGGGGGAGTTGGCCTACCGTGTTAAATTAAACCTCTTTTAGCCTCCGATGGCTCCCATCAAGTGGAATTGTAAGAATTAGATGAGATGCTGCATGTAGTTTAGTATAGAGCCTGCACATAATAAGTGCTCAATTAATGTTTGCTTTTGTTACTATTCCTTCTGCTCTTGCTACTACTGTTACACTGGGACCTATCTTTTTGAAAGAAATTGGAAATATCTATCACCTAACATCAGAGTTTCACACATTAGCTTTGGAACTTTATGGTGGCTTTTTCTATACCTGGCTCTTTGGGTGTCCTCATGTTCCAGTCATTGGAAAATGACCACACATGGCCACTCTCATGGAAAGATCTTAATTCTCTAGGATATAGGACAATCCCGGAGCACAGGGGCCTTTCCAACATGGATAGTTAAGCTCACTTTCCCTAAACTGCCCAGTCTCCTGCCTGTTTATGTGGTGGAGTTAGTAGCACAGCATTGGAGCAATGTCCACGAGTCAGGTGAGGGGTGACGCCCACTGAGGACCCTTCTAATTATATCTCCCCAGAGAGTTTGGAGGGTCTGGGAGTCTTCTGGAGGGAAGATGCCATGGAAACATGACATGTCATTGCTGGTGCTGCCTTGTGATGTTGCTGGTGATATTAGCCACCGACTAAGAAACCAGAGCCCTTTGCTTGGGTTCTGGCAAGTTCTCCAGGGTTTATTTCTGTGAACGTTGATTTGCAGCCTATAAATAAGAAAAGCAGGAGAGAGAATTCTTTCGAATTGAAACTATATTTCATAAAACTGGTTTGGGGGTCATTTTGAAATGTGAAACACTGGGACAACATAGATGGGGTGATGCATAGACCAGCATTCCACTGTGAGTGCAGAAAGCAGCCTTCCCTACGTAAGGCAGACCGCTCCCAGTTAGCTTCCTGGAGAGAGGTCTCAATAGCCAAAGGGAATCAGAATTTGAGCAGTTTGCTTTGCTTTAGCTGTGAAAATATGGCCTTAAGTTTTATTCAGTTCAAGTCATTCAACAAATTTTGAGGTGCCTGCTATGTGCATAAACACATGTATACCTGTCCTCACAGAGCTTCTAGTCTAGGCCTCACATTTGTAACCACATAATCAATCAATTAATTAATTTGTGAATTACAATGGTCCATGAAGGAAGAGCACAGGCCACCTTGAAGAGTGTCATGGGGGAATTTTCTTTCCTTGGGGAGGATCATGGGGGCTTCTCTTTGGAAGGAGCGATCCTCCAGGGATCTGGTATAAACCAATGAGGGTTCATAGCAAGGAAGGATTCCAGCAGAGGCCAGGGTTGTGACTGGCAGTAAAAGAGAGGCTTTCAGCCTGTCCAGTGTGGCTCAGTGGTTGAGCGTCAACCCATGCACCAAGAGGTCGCCGGTTCGATTCCCAGTCAGGGTACATGAGCAGGTTGTGGGCTGGATTCCCAGTGGGGGACCTGCAGGAGGCAGCCAATCGATGTTCTCTCTCATTGATGTTTCTATCTCTCTCTCCCTCTCCCTTCCTCTCTCTCTAAAATCAATAAAGGGATTGGGGGAGGAGGAGAACCATTTGAGGAAGTGTTATTAGTACATATAAAATTTAGATAAGTCAGAGAGACTGCACACAGGTCATTAGACCATGGCACTACATTATTAACATCTGGGGCTGATAATTCTTGGGGGAGACGACTGTGGATTACAGATGTTTAGCAGCACCCCTGATGTCTACCTACTAGATCCCAGTAGCATGCACTCCCTAGCTGTGAAAACCGAAAATGTCTCCAGGCATTGCTAATGTCCCGAATTGGCCCAGGGTGAGAATGACCGCCCGATGGTTTGCAGTTTGGCTTTAGCTGTCTTTCCTTTTGGGTCCCTTCCTTTTTTGGGGGGTCACCTACTTCGAACCAGTGCTCTCCACTATATTTTATGTTTTGCTCTAAGCCATCTTTTCTCCTTTTTGGAACCAGGCAGGGTATAAAAAATAAACGCCACAGACGTGTTGTCACTGGCGTGAGACGCTGTGAGCGCTGGGACAGTGGGAGGCTGAGCAGAGGCTGTTGGATTTGGCAGTGGGTGCTCGCGGGCAACCTATGAGAGAGGAGGCAGGGTGGGGGCCGAGTGGAAGGGATTAACGAGTGAGTGGGTGGTGAGGAAGTGGAGGTGGCCAGCATAGAGGACTCTTTCAAGAGCACCAGGGAGTGACGGGAAGCAGAGTGATATAATGGTAGCCTGACATCGAAGCTGCTTGAGAGAGGTCCTTTTTTAAATGAAAGGTTGGCCGGGCTGGATGTAGTCAAGGGCAAGGACGAGTGAGTTTGCTGGCCTGAAGGACCACACTGAAGGACCGGTCTCGGGGAGCATCGGGTGCACAGGAGAGGGGGCGCTTACTCCACCGAGAGAGGACAGGATGGGAATCGAATCTGTACGTTACATCAAATTCTGAAGTCGTAATGAGGGATAAAGGGGTGCATTTCGAATGACCTTGAACTTCTCACTGAAGGAGCAGGTCATTTCCCGGAGAAGGCAGGGCGGACCTAGGAAAAGGCTAGATGCACAGGAGAATGGAAGATTCATATAGTTTTGGGGTTTTAAGGTAAAACTCTAAGCCCCTCCCCTCAATGCCCTGCCAAATTTAAATTTAAATAAAGATGCATCTAAAACTTAACGTCTCCATTAACGTGGAAGCGCTTCTTTTCCTTGACACGCTGTTAGAAAAACACATGCACGTCTTTCAGAGGTATTAGAATTGAGAAGATGTTGTAGTTGCCTAGTAATTCTAAGGGGCCCCTGGGGGGGGGGTAGAAAATCCCCATGGAATCAGCTGTGATCATGGCATGTACTTTAATGACACTCCACGGCCTGGGAACGTGCATGGGGAAGAAGGACGGCGGGAATCAGAAAGGGGTGTAAATATGAACTCTCAGTCCTGCGCTGGGGATGATGGAACGGCTTTCCTTCCTTGTCTTCCAACTGGAAAAAAATCTTTGCCCTGTGAGGAATGGCCTTTGTCCCTGGGAGTACGTGGTGTGTTGTACCGCCTCATGCATGAGCTTTGTCCCGGAAGTAAAGAGAAGCAGCTTCTCTTCCTGCTTTAATCTCGCAAAGTCCGATGGTAATGTCGCCATTCCTCTGCCTTCCTCCTTCCTCGTGGGGCGGGTCCCAGTGGCCTCCCTCCGCTCTGTCTGTTAAAGACTATCCATTTTGGCCCTGGCCGGTTTGGCTCAGCAGTTAGAGCGTTGGCCTGCGGTCCAGAGAGACCCGGGTTCGGTTCCCACTAAGGGCATGTACCTCGGTTGCAGTTTGTCCCCGGCCCTGGTTGGGTTGTGAGGGTGGCAGCCACTCGATGTGTCCCTTTCACATCGATGTTTCTCTCTCTCTCTCTCTCCCACTCTATCTGAACAAAATAAAAAAAAAGACTATCCATTTTGGTTATTTATAATTTGCTGTAGTTTCCCACCAAACTAGAAAGACATCACAGATATCCTATATCTGTTTTGGAAAGTAATTACAGTCAATGTGAGATATTATGGAAATTATCATTATTTAGTAAGTATTCTAGTTTATATTCTAGTTCAGCCTATTATTATACCGAACCCCAAAATGCCTTCCAGGTACAAAATGAAGGATAATGCTATGTTGTTTGTTGATTATAGATATCACAGAAAAAATATAATAAGGTTTCTGAGAGAAGGAGAAAGAAATTTAACCAATGTCTCTAAACCACACAGGGTAATGTCACATTGTTGATGCAGTCATAAGGTGATAACGACCAAGGGAACAGATGGACCTGCCCTAAAACCCACATGTCATTGTGAACCAGACTTCTGTGCCTTCAGAAATCTCATCTAGTTACCATGCTTTTCAACTTCTATGCTCTCCAATTTATATATGAATGACATGTAAATAAGTGCTATTTATTTGAAGAACTACTTTTAGAATATTCCAAAGGATTTAACCCAGTACATTCCTTCATTCTCACGAACACACCATACTATTTGTAGAAAAGAATTCTGCCATAGTAACAACGGTCATTGAAATCTATAATGACTATGGATGAACTGGGAAGTTCTGAAAGATTTTCTAAACTGCCAAAGATTCAGAAATGTTCAGCAGAGTTTGTGGTCTTTTGTTGTATTTTCATTTGACTTTGATAAAGCAGATACTCTGTTAAGTCCAGTTATTAAAACATACCAGTCTGAGTCAGTACAGGTTAGGATCTCCTACAATAACAAATCACGCCAAAGATTCAATGGCTTAAAACAATAAAGGCTGATTTCAATTGCCCAGGCATACACTTCTATTGTAGATTGGCAGGATGTTCTTCGTAATCCTTCAGAATTCAATGGTCTCCACAGTCCTTCAGAGACGAGGATAATTGAAGGGCCACCTTTTGTAATACTGTGAATCGCCATGCTACAAGGAGAAGAAGGAGGATCTCCAGAGGGTCTTACACCAAGAATGAGATGCTCACATCTGTGTGACATGTCACTTTCATTCATTACTCAAAGGGCAGAACTAGTCATAAGGTCCCACTCAACCACAAGAGGGCCAGGAAATACAATCCCACCACGTGATCAGAAGACAGCTGAAAATATTTGGGAGCAGCATTTTGACAACCACAATATCGTTCTTTGAAAATTAAAAATAAAGTATTGGTTTACTACACTGTACAGAGTATAGAATGCCAAAAATAATTTGTCACATTACTATAAATCATATGTATAATGATAAAAAAATCAGATAATGAGTATCCAAGGTCTTCATCAACAGAGATACACGATACAAATGTCACGATGTACACTTGTAGATATATATGTCAAATAATTAAGCAAGACATGTAGTTCTTTCCCAAAGTCTGACATGAATCAAAATTATTTTCCTACTTCATACATTTCTCCTATGTTTGGTTGATCCATAGATAATATCTAGCATACTTATTATGCCTTAGACTTACTTTTACACCATTATGTATAACAGTAACTACTAGAGAAAAGCTCTAAATAGTTTTGTAAAACTCCAGTGCTGTTCAGGTCTAAATCCTTTTTTTAAAATTTAATTTTACATGCTTTTCTCATATGTTTAGGTAGAAATAGGAGCTTACTTTTGTCAGGTTAGTTATTCTTTGTAATCATAAATAGACATTCATTTAAATGCTCTTTTGTTCTTTAAAAGCACAGCATCCTTCTCTTGTATACAGAATTTTAATACTTTTAATATTATTTATTTACTGCTCTCTGTGTTATCTTTTAACTAAAAACACATTTAAGGTCTACCCTTAGGCATAAACCTCTAGTTCCTAAGGAAACATGTAGTGTACTGATGACTCATCACAGTTGGCTCTATTCAAGTTTTTATTATTATGTCTAAGAATAAAAGGCCTTCAAAAGGAATTCGCAGGAAAGGTGGGGAGTCAGAGAAGCATGGAAGGCAAAGATCTTCTATGCCTTATTAGTACTCAGCCACATTTTCCTATAACATAATTGAGGCCCCGGTTAACTATAATGGAAACAATGATGCATAGATTTTGATGTAATTTAAAGGAACATCCCAGTACATTTGCTCACATAAAATAATTTGTCATTTTACTTACTCATGCATTCACATTTTTTCAGAACCAGTTTTTTTTGTTTTGCCTGTCACATTTGCAATGCTGAATAAATCTTTTCTCTATAATGGCAAATATATATTACAAAACTGAATGGCTCCTCTCCCCTCTCCCCCTTTTTTTTCTATTTGTCTGACAGCGCTTCCCAACAGAGGACCATCTGATGATTCATAGGCACAAGCATGAAATGACTTTGAAGTTTCCCTCAATAAAAACAGACAATATGTTATCAGGTAAGGAGCCACCAGGCAAAGAGGCTTTGGGTGATCAGCCACCAACACTTGTTTTTCTTATGATAGGGTAATTTCCACTAGCACATTCTGTGCCATGAAAACGTACATTTCTAAGGTATAAAAAAGACTTAAAATAATGGTAAGCAGAAATGCAATCAGTTAATGCAGTGTTCACTCAAATAATTGCAGAGCTGTGACTTCTCATTTTCTGGCATGTAAATATTTATTACTCTAAAACCTGGCTCCATATAACTATTTTAAAAAGCACTTACCTGTGATCACTCAGGTGACAAATATTAATTGAATGTCTACAACACACAATACACTGTTCTGAGTGACATGCAAGGTGCAAAAATTGCTATGATTTCTGTTCTCTAGGACATCACAGTGCATGTGAAAATGTAGCTAAAATTAGAGGACTGTCCATGATCTACAGATGGTCCCCAACTTAAAATGGTTTGACTTAAGATGGTTTAACTTATGAATTTTGGATTTTGTGATGGTGCACAAAAGATATTCGGCTCTGGCCAGTTTGGCTCAGCGGTTAGAGCATCGGCCTGTGGTCCAGAGAGAACTGGGTTCGGTTCCCGTTAGGGGCACGTACCTCAGTTGTAGTTTGTCCCCGGCCCTGGTTGGGTCGTGTGGGTGGCAGCCACTCGATGTGTCCCTTTCACGTCGATGTTTCTCTCTCTCTCTCTCTCTCTCTCCCTCCCACTCTATCTGAACAAAAAATGGGAAAATGTCCTTGGGTGAGGTTAAAAAAAAAAAAGATATTCATTCAGTAGAAAACGAACTTCGAATTTTGAATTTTGAATTTGATCTTTTCCTGGGCTAGTGATGCAAACACAATACTCCCTCACTCCCTCGTGATGCTGGGCAGAGGCCGTGAGCAGCAGCTCCTGGTCAGCCACCCCATCACGAGAGCCAACAACCGGTACAATAGAACGCACTGTGCTGTCAGCGGTTTGGGGATATTGTGTTTTGCATCCTGTGATACCTACAAAATGCTCACCTATGTCTCCTACTTCTGGTGAGAAAAACAGGAATGCAATTACTCTTGAGATCAAACTCAAGATAATAGTCCAGTTGCAGGCGAATAAGTGTTCTGAGCATGTTTAAGGCAGACTAGGCTTAAGCTATCATGTTCAGTAAGTTATGTGTCTTACATGCATTTTTGACTTAAGATATTTTCAACTTCATCAAGGAGCGGCTGCATATCAAATGAGTCTTGTAAGAAAAAATACTATGCGACTTTAGTAGAAGGAGCTCTTTCTGGACTAAGGCGGTCAGTGAAGGTTTCCTTCAGAAACAGAACCCCCCTCACAAGTGGGCAACTAAAAGAGATAATGCAGGGAAACCTAGCAAGTGCTCAGCAAATGTGAGCAGAAATAAAAGATAACGATCCATCAATTAATTGCCATTTCTTCCCCGTTTAACAGGCGGCATGGTAAACTGGAAAAAGGGCACAGAAGTGAGGGAACTTGAACTCTAGCCTGGGCCCTGCCTCCACCAGCTGTCTGACCGGGAGCAAGTAAATGAACCCTCTGGGCCTCGGTTTCTTTTTTCATAAGATGGGAATGATTTGATCTGCACGTCTATTTCACAGGCTTATTGTAAAGATTCAGTGAGAAACTGTAAATTAAAGTGCTTCACAAATCCTAGCGGGGTAATTGAAGCATTTCCTGTTACCCTTCTTAGGCTAGAAATACTTCACCAGGGCCTCTGCCTCCCTGGTATCAGGGAAGAGATGATACACCCATGAACATGTTATAATGGTATCAGAAGGAAAACCCACTGCCCTGGCAGGCCTGGCCATTATACTTGAACATTTCTATGGCACTTACATTTTACAAATATTTTATTATCCCTATTATTAGTAAATCCTCTAAGAATTGGTCAGACAGATTATTTTGACAACCATATTTTACTGATGGAGGAGGAGGCGCACAGGGAGATGGAGCAGCTTTTCCAAGCTCACCAAACAGGGCAAAGATGAGGGCTCTAGACCGGCAGCCCTAACCCGCTGCCTTGTAGTGGTCACTGCATTGTCAGGCTCCACACGTTTAGACATCAGATACTGGTGACAGGGCCATCCAGGCAGCTTCATAAACCCGCCAGTGACTTGCTAGTACTGCAAATGCGTTGTGGTTTGAAAGACTCTCCAAGGTCAAAGGCATCCTCTTCCCCTCCCTCCATCGCCACCTACCACCTCTCTCTCTGCCTGTTTGGCTCTACCAGTTGGCTCTTCAGAAGTAGTTTTGTGTGAAGTCTAGACACAGAGATGCAGAAACTCAAATGTGTAAGAATTATAAAGCCTGCAAGGGTTCAGAAGGATGGTCTGTTCTTTGGTTTTGATCACTTATTATTTTCTATAGCGTCTCCTGTGCTGTAACTTCATAGTTCAACAGAGAACTGGTACATGCAAGTAGCAAGGCTGTAGACTTTGCAATTCCTAATATTTAAATCCATAGATCTTCCTTTGTTTTCCCCCAATAGGATCCCTAAAGTAGAATTCATGATATTAGGGGAGTGGGAGGTGACTATTAGGGAGTGGTAATTATCTGGAGATATTACTAGTATAGTGTAAGTAGTAGCATAGTATCTTACAGGCGTGTTGCTAGTAAGGCCCTCCAAGAGGTCCCATCAGAAGTTCTGAAAAAGTAGCCAAAGATGTGTGAACATTTCTCTCTAATGCTTATAAGCAGGTTTTTGATTGAGTTCTCGCAGCTCTTACCAGATCCTTGCTAGTCTGACACTGTTGCTGCCAACAATCGACAGTGCCAGGTAGAAAAATATTGGGAGAAAAGTCAACTTTAATTTTTATTATGTCAAACCTGGAGTAAGAAAATGAAGAGAGAAATAAATGGGGAAAAACAGCATGAGTAATATATTGGCATATTTTCTTCTGCTTTCTCATACTTTATGTTGAAGCTGGTATGAGGCCATTTCATATTCCCAGCGAAATTAAGTGCTACATTTTTTTATTATTTATTTTGTATTGTTGAAAGTATTACAGCTGTCCCCTCTTTTTTCCCATTGACCCCCTCCTTCCTGCTCCCACCCCCCTCCTGCCTTCCCCAGCCTGAAGTCTGTGTCTGTTGGTTGCGCATATATGCAGATAAGTTCTCTGGTTTATCTCTTCCCTCTCTTCCCACCTAAGTGCTACATTTTTATACCTGTTACGGTCTGCGTGTTTGCAGTCTGGCTGAATTTTCTTGCTGGGACGGAATACAGAGATATCCCGCCCAACTCGATTACTCTGCATTTAGGGGACGCAGGTCTACTACATGTCATATGCCAATGCTGTCCACGTTGCATTGTAATAGGTCAGTTAGTGGGTATATTTGCTTTGCTATTTGTTTTTTCTGGGAAAGATTTTAATATGTATTTATCTCAAATTTCATTTTAGTTTTAGCTTATTGGAGTGTGATTTCAAATAATGACTGAAGTTTTTACTTGTCTATATCTTGATTTATTTGGATTTGAATTTATTAAAAGCTTCAGAATCTACTCTAATTAAAAATTGGTTCATTAAAATTTTGTTTCTTAATAGATTTTAAGCCTATCTTGTAGCCTATTATGAAGACGAATGATCTTACACAGTTTGAAATATACTACTAATAAAAATAGTATAAGCCAAATCTTACATCAACAAGCATCATCAGGGCAAACATTTTCAAGTCTCTCTGGGGCCATTTTTTAAAGCAATATTCAATTACACAGAATTTTATTCCAGATGGACCAGGGTTTTTGACATTAAGAAGATAAACTATGGTAGGTATGTATGTTCATTACTAATTTCAGGATCTCTGGTTATCTTGTATTTTGGAAAATCATTTCATCCTTTATTAATTACAAATATTAAAATTAGGGAAGTTATTAAGACACCACAGATACACTCTTTAAGGATAAATATCCAAAAAGTTGTAATATCTAAAATATTCCATAGCTATGGCACAAGGTTCATTTCATTTAGGCCAGGTAGAATTTACTACGCAAAATGATCTTTGACGTGCCACAAGGCAGGGTAGCAAAGGTGACAGCCATGGTGTTTTATTAAGATGAGTCTGCTGTTATGATTAGACAGTAAACATAAGAACCTCTCATTCTAAAGGGACCGCACTAGGGACATGAACGGGAGTGGTGGTTTTGGATTCCAAGGGCAAAAATGTATAGCCCTTCCCCCCTTGGTCCTCCCGTTCTTATTGGATCCACATGACCCATTTCTAAAGTCCTGATATTATAATGGACACGAGTTTTTACTTTCAGCTGTTCTCGTTCTGATAGATGATAGTTTCATGCTGAGGGAAGTTGTGATATCAAAAGTTTTTAGATGCCAAGTTCAAAATGCGAATCCAGTGAGGACAAGATGCTTCCACACACCCGTGGAAAAATTACCAGCTATTATGTCACACAAGATCTGTTTGATTTGAAAACATGATCGAATTTCAGCATTAAAGGTAAAGAGGACAATGTTTTGCTCTATTTTAATGGCATTATGGTTAGGCATTCAGAAATTCCTAAATCTTGCCCTCAGAATCCCTACCCCTACTTATTTACGGGGTCCCCAAGTTCTGTACAGGAAAACAAAGGGCAACTTTACTTATAGCTGAACAAGCAAATAATATTCCAAATGAGAACTGAGTGTGTGTGTGTGCGTGCGCGCACATGTGCATGTGTGTTGTGTGTTGGTGGTGTATGGTGGAAATATTGTCTTAGAAGATAATGAATTTTGTTTCGTGGTGGGACTACTAGACATGTAAAGGCATGGACCCATGTGTCTCTTTCTTAGACTTCCCACCAGAGATGTTGATTGGGTTTCATATTCTAAGGAAAGGTGAAAGTTCAACACTCTTGAACTTCACTTACTCATTCAGCAAACACTTACTGAGTGCCTATAAGGATCCTGTTGTGCTAGGTGCTGGGAATGCTGCAATGAACAGACAGATGAGGTCCCTCTTCCATGGAACTTCCTATACTCTATGGGAGTGGAAAGGAAG